CCCCCCCCCCCCCCCCCCCCCCCCCAGATGCCGGAGCGGTCTACCTTAGGCTAGCTCTATCGGACGCGTGACGAAGAGACGACCGTAAGCTCAGGTGGTTCTTACTACACCTGCTTGTCCTTTTCATGGAAGCCTGATGCTTGGACGATGATCGTCCCTACTGTGCACCAACAGTTCTATAACGTATGAGCAGTCTTTACACAAACTCTGTTGCGCTTGAGCGCGGCGCAACCCTAAGAATATGTCCTTTGGGTGCAGTCCGTCCGATGTTCTGAAATTGTTGGAGATTTCGACCCGTGTATATCTTGCGTTCAAAGGTATGGCGCCAGCTACCCCCCTCTGGTGGCAACCGTTAGGGACCACCTCGCTCATCATTGCAACTAGATGCCAACGAAAATTCGGAAGCGCAAGTCAGTGGGCTTGTTAAGGAATTCACCACATTCCATGGCTGTCTCAAAGAGCTGGGCGAGCTAATGAAACAATATGGCCAGCCGCTACGTGAGCGTTCATCTGTGTACTACATTTGCGGCATGCACTGACGCGAGATAACAACGCGCAGCATTCCCTGTCCAGGATTTCGAAGACACGCTGAAGAAGTGTGAAAAGACCCTGGAGCCATACGCTGAACATCTCGTCGATAAGAAGATGACCGTCAAGAAGTTCATCTTCACGATCAGATACATCGGGATGGAAAAGGAGATCGATGGGCTGAGGAAACAGATCAGTGGTCATTACCAAGCGCTGAACATGTGCATTTCCTTTCTGCAATTGTAAGCCTCTTTCGTACTCGAAACAACAGTCGCTGACCGTCGTTAGGCGGCTACATCTCGAGGCAACCAAGCAGACTCAGCGTCTTCTCGACGCTGCGCCGTCTCGTACAGTAAATCTAGGCGGCCGCTCTTACTCCACAAACACTCTTGGTGTTCCAAACAACCGCGCACCACTGGCACTCGCGTCTCCCGACGAACACCCGTTGTTCAGCGAATGGAAAATCTTTGATCGATGGCTGCAAAGTGAGGACGAACGTGTTGCTCAAGAAGCGGGACTATCGCGGCCTCTTTCTCTGGGAGACACACCTGCTACGTGTTCTACTGGTGATGTTCAGACAGCTGCTGTACTATATCATCTGAGACGGCAGGTTGATGACGCGATTTTCATCGAGGAGAATCGCGCAAAGCGAGCTACGGCGGAGAAACGCTCACACTTGGTCCCAAGCGACGCGATGAAGCAGCAGGTCCGCAACATGCCACCAGCTCCATTGCGAACCTATACCCTCGAGACAGATCACTCCGGGAACTTCACCATGTTTGGCCAAGAAAGCTTGAGTGACTCCACGGGCAGCAACCGCCCGACCTTGAGTCTACAGCCATCGTCTCCAGATTACTTCGGATCAGTCGATTGGTCGCAGTCGCCTAGACCGACATCGCTTGAGCCTAATAGGATACTTTTTAGTTCCACAGTTGCCTGTAGCGAAAGCTCTTCGCCCGCATCACCGTCGTCAACGGGTACTGCCTCAGAGAAGCCCTTATCTCCCACTTTGCGGCGCAGTCTCTCGCGCACATCCCTGGCAACCATGGCATTAGGAGACGCTGCACTCGACTGGAAGCGAATATGTCGCAACGTTCAGGTCGAACGAAAGTCTCTGAAGTACGGATCCGAAAATCACGAGTGCGAGGTTCGGTGGCGATATCGAGAAGATACTGGCATCTCGCTGCGAACAGTCTATCACTCTAGCCAAGACGGGAAGCTTCGAACATGGACTGAACAGCACTTTCCTGCTACCGGGCCAGCGATACCCTTGACTACTACGTATGTTGACGGTGCAGTATCTGTCGATTTTCCGCGCAGCTCGTTCGGGAAACTCAACAAGCAGTATGTTGACATCAAGTACACGTTCATTGGCCACGAATCAGCAAACAGATTCCAGACCTTGTTGTACACCAACAACGGTGCCGACTCTGCTAATCTCGAATTCGATCGACCCATATTGAGCATATCCTCGGATCACAATCCGACTGAATGTCGTGGAAGAAATTTGCGGCTGTGGCGGCGTACCGAGACGCATCTAGCGGATGGTGGGCTCGTTACGTCTGAGGTCTTGATCCTGCTGTTTTACACGAGCGCATTGGAAGAGGATGGGCACTGGGTCGAGGAGCCGCACTACGCATTCGAATGGCTCACGGAGTCGGTCTATAAGAAAGACAGTGACAAGCTTACGCTTCTCTTCTCAAAAGACGCACCGCGTTGGGCGACTGATAAGCTTTTCAAACGCCGCAAGTCATCCACACAGACGGATTTCGAAGCAGCGAATCCGTCTCGCAAGAAACGCAACGACTCTATGGAAATGCTACGGTTTTCTCGATCAGACAGCGTTACTTCAGGGTCGTTGAGCGGCTCGCCGATTCCTTTGAAAGATATATCGGGAGGTGGTGGTGGTTTCTCGAGGGCTGCTAATCTGAATCGGTTTGGGTATTCGGCGTTAGAGATCAAGTTCCAGAGCAGGAAGGACAGGATGGCGTTCTTAGACATCTGGAAACAGTACGTCAAGCCGCTGAGTGTGTCCTGAAGATTGCAATGGGCAGATAGAAAGTACAGGGCGCATTGTACTGTACCGTGGTTTTATGCACAGATATCCGGAAGTCCGACCTTCCAAGCAGACGGACTGTTCAAGATTAATATTTGGAACAAGAGGTGTGCGACGAGAAAGGCTCCAAAGTGAATGTAGTCGTCTTGTCAAGCACAGACAGGGCATACTGGTTGTTGTAAAGCTTCACGAAATCTAATTGAGACGAACATCGCTTTGTAATGCTAGTAGCGACAATCACAAAGTTTACAAAAATGCCTCGTTATTGAAGAAGTGTGCACGGCTTCGATCGAAAACACCTGATTGCGGGCACCACGGATGCGCATGACACGTCGTCCGCACGGACTTTGCGCTTATCCAACTCGGGTGCTGCACATGTATTACGTATCGGTCTATGATGTACTCAGCGATGACACGTTGGGAAATGCAATAAGGCATTGTCCGCGGAATGAAACCTACATGTGATCGTAGCAGGACTTATAAGCGAGTCCGACTCATTGTTGAGGGCGAAGGGTTGAAAGGCGAGGGCCTGGATCCTGTGGGCGGCACATTCCATTTTACCCGCATCAAGTTGTTCTCGCATGTACGTATACGAGAAGGCGTTCCGATGAAAGATGTACCCCTCATATTTGAAGCAGTCATGATCTGAATGGGAGTTAGGGCGAGAGCTAGATAATTACAAAAAGCCACCCTTCATCACGCTTATCACAGCTTAGAACCATGACGGAAGCACCTCAGAGCTGGAAACAGCTTGTAGTAGAACTTTTGAATAATGAGAACCATGAACGGTAATGACGGAATGTTGCGCGATCAACAGTATGTAGACATCCATGTAGAAGTAAATCAAATACAGGTCTTGTTGGCAGCCATTTTGCCGAACTCATCCACATTCAGGACAGCACCTTCTGCATCGTATTCAATCCTGACCTGCTGGTTGCTCGAGACAGAGGGATCGCCTACAAGGTAATTGAGCGGTTCGAACCTCATGGCCGAATGAGCAGAGCTGAACATAGTATTGGGCAAGTCGCCGGTGTGCGGAAGATGGTGCATGCCGAGGTTGAACCAGAGCACTCTGTGTTCTGTTAGTAATTGATATATTACGGGGTGCAGTATCAACAATAGATGGAGAAAGGAGGTGGGTTTACGAACAAATCTTCTTGATCCAGACTCTCGTCGTCAAAGAAAGTCTCAAAGTTGACAAGCGGATCGTCCTTGGAGAACTGGTTATTGGCATCCGCAGCCCTTGGCTCAGTGTCCTTTTGCTGTGTGACATAGAAGTCGTGAGTCACAAAGGCACCTGTCTTGCCAGTGTTTGTCGAGTTCGTTTGTGTAAGGTGGATGGTGCCGGCAGATCTTTTGATTCTGTAACCTGGGTACTCGCCATACGGGTTCGGTGTGTCCCTATTGACAATGGCGTACAACACGTTGTCGTTCTCGGCCCAATTGATCATGGACTCGCTCTCGTCGGCTACCCAAGATCGCTCAGCCTTGAATGTATTGTATACGCGACCCTGGCTCCAAGGATACGCTGTCGAAGTCGGCACAAACTGTAGTTTTTGTACACTGTTTTTCCTGCCGTTGATGTCAAGATCGACCTTGAAAGTGAGGGTGTGGTCGTGCGAGCTACCCGAAAGGAAGTCGTGTATATGGAAGCCGTACTCAGGCTGATCCTCCCAGTAAGCAGCGGCAATGTATCCAGAAAAGCGTGAAGAAACCTCGATACCGCCATCGTAGAAGAAGCTGTAGTCGATGAGGAAGTCGTAGTTGCCTACTGTGGCTACCGTGCGCATGACGAACTGGATGTTCTTTGCTACGCTAGTGTGTGGCGCGGATGGTGAAAAGGAATGGCGCCGGATTGGGTAGCCCGCGTCAAATTCGAACAAACATATAGCGTCAGCTTGTGTCTTGACCGTGTCGCCTTCTGTCCATGTTGCAGGTAGGTATGTAGCATGACTAGGGCAGTCATAGCCTCTGACAAGAGGCTGCAAGGTCGATCCCATACCACTCGTGGTATCGAAGAAGGTCGCTTGTGATTGGAAAGGGTCGGAGCCGGAGTATGATGTCAGAGCCTCCTGCAAGGACAACTCGTAAATGATGCGTCTGCCTTTGTATTTGATGTCAAACAACGACAGGCCAAGGTCCTGAGAGACGGCATGATAGAGGGTGAAGTCCATCCAGGATATATATCCCTCTTCCGTATCGATCTTGAATCGCTGGTCGCCCTGAGCGACAGAAGCCGGCGGCGGTAGGTTGTCCAAAGGCATGGGCGTTCCCTGCCTGTCGGTAGACGTCCAGTTTCCCAGTACGTTTGCTGGTGGCGTCTCATAGTCGGGAGCGTTAATTGCGGCACGGAACTCTTCTGTGCTGGCGTAAAATTTGCCATACGAGTACCAACCGACAGCTTTCCAGGTATCCGAGATTGGTCCAGTCAAGTCAAATTTCACAGCGAATCCGAGTGGCTCGACGGTAACACTGCTGAGATTGGTGCCAGGGTCCGCAAATGCTCCTGCCCAGGAGATGGTTCGGCCCTCTTCATCCCAGAACGGGCTTCCAAATCTAAGACCAATGCTACCAGTAAGAAAAGTCTGTATGCATGTAAGCCTCCGTTGTTGAATGTTGTGGCTGGCTTCCACTCACAGTGTTGAACAATTGCATTGAGATATCCTCAGTCTCTGTCGCGAACCTCGTAAAGAAACTCGTCGCGTCGCTGGGTGAATACATGGGATGCATTTGTGTTCGACCTGGTTGGGAGTTTTGGAACGGGAAAGTCAACGGTTCGACCGCAGTCGCATTTGTTGCTGGCAATGGTCCCACCATGTACTCTTGCCAGTGCTTGTCTGTCGAGTTGGTGGTACCGCTTTGAACAGTAGCTCGCGCATAGCGCTTTGGAGCCGTAGCATTGCTGTCAAGGAAGGGAAGAGTATCCGTCTTGTTGGGATGAAGAAGAGCGAGCTGTACTCTGATATCGTATTAGTGTCCGGCGAGTGAGAGGTGTCTAGCAATGGTCGACTTACACGTAACTATCACGGCTAGATCCTTGGTTGCCAGTCAAGCTCATTCGCTCTTGGAGAAGTTCCTTGACACTAGCAGCTTCCTCCTCGGAAAGGGTCTTCCAAGGGTTTTCATGCGGTGCACTCACTGTGGGCTGGCGGTCGTTGATCGTGTTATCCTGCGCTGTGGAGAAGGTGACCAAGACGGCAGCACCAAGCGTTAAAGAAGAAGTCCACTTCATGTTGAGCAGGACGAAATGGAACGAGCGTGCCGTTTCCGACGTGCAGACCTCTGCAGATTATATGCCCGTCTACTGGCCCATGCCTTTGTGGTAACACGGTAGGTCTAGGGGCGTTCGTGCTGTCATTGTGCGTGCGCATCGCCGTGGCTGGCTCGCGTCCTTAGCGACGAGAAGCTATGCCTCAGACATCGGTTTGTTGAGCAGCCTCAAAAAATAACATCACACTGTTGCTTTGCCGCACGCCGTAGGCAAGAAAGGAAGTGATCAGCGCCAGGGTCGCTTTCTGCATGTTGTGCAAGGGAGATTCAGCTCCACATTCGAAGGTCACGGACGGAGGCGCCTCCTTTACATGATGCAGCTGCAGAAACGATTCTCGCGACAAGAAACACGAGTGGAGACGCAGAATCGGGAAAAAACATGTTGCTCGAGCGTAAAGGTGTGCCCGGAATGTGGTAGAAGTGTCGCGCACGACTGGTAGCTCAGGGGCGGAGCCTGCCTTCCGGAAGCTTGGTACGGTAAGGTACCCCGCAGAAACAATACCGGGCAGAAGTAATTAAGCAAACAAGCTTTTTCTGGCTACCTGTCGGTTCCAAGATTTGGTCGCCGATGCTACCTACCTAGATGCGTGATACATGCTTCTGGAATGCTGCAAATAGAACAGCCTGCGTTGCCTCACACCCCCGTTAGTGGACACCTGCAGTCTTCACGTGTCCTGCCCTTCGCCACGCTACACCGTTCCAAATCCCAACCTCTCGTCATCGCCTTCGGTTGTCTGGCCTCTGCTTCTCTCCTCCACTCTGCGTTTTGCGGTCCTGGTCCCACTTGCTCCTTCTCTCCGCAAGTCCTGGCTTGTCTTTCTTGACTCCTTGTATCTGGTGCTCCAGGACTTTCCCCATCACAACCAACATGTTCATAGCCGACTTCATGGCTATGAACATTTTGGAGCTCCGCTCTGGTGTCATGACCATGTATACCTTTGCGTCTGTTGCTAGAAATTCTTCCAAAACTAAGAGATCGGAACGAGCGGGGTTGCGAAGAGCAGCTTTGAAAGCGATCTGGTGGACTTTCCGGGCGGCTATATATTGGTTCGACATTATTCAATACGCCTATCTGGGCAGCGTTGTGATGTTGCTGTTATTTCAAGCGTATATTCCCGGTCACGGTGCAATGGGAGCGAGAACATGCGCTTTCGTTTGTATAGATCCATTTCTCATATTCTCGTCACCTTTCATCAGTCCCAGCACGCGATAATCAAAATCACCAGTTCGTCGTCCGTGCGTTCGTTTGCGATTGCAAAAGGACGAATCAAACTTGAGCACAACGCCGAAGCAGAAGGCGTATTCCAGAAGCCAAAGCGGTACGCAATACGAAATGTACAACGCTAAACGACCATGGTATATCTGAGCTTTTCTGCACAATCATAAACAAACAGTCCCAAGTCCACATACAATAATTTGCAAAGCAAAAACACGCTGTTCCTGACGCTGCCACAGCATGTGCATAGCTGAGCGAAGGAAGCACGGAGGAAATGGCTAAGAGACGTAAGACCAGCCAAGCGCATGTACACGATGACAAACAAGACGCGAACGAGGAACACAACACAGGGTGTGCCGTGGGATCGATCGCAATATACCACCGCTGCAATTGCAACTGCTTTGTCTCCATGTGTTTCAATCTTACTTCTTCTTCTTGACAGAATCCTTGCGAGCGGTGGTACCAGCAGCCCATCTGAAGAACGGTGATGGGGCGG